TTTTTTTTTTTAATATTTCTGGCACATTTAGAGAAAAATGTGAAACATTGAAAAGTTGAATGAAAGAAATCTTTTACAAAAATTCCAATTTTGCAGTTTCTTTATTACTATAAAATTTATTAAACTGAGAAAGAAACGTGAAAGATATAAACTCGAAGACCGCAGTAGTAGTACAATTTTATTGAAAAAAAATTTTATATTTTCAAATCTTTCATGATCCTGACAGTCGACGTTCTCTGTTTCAATCTCGTATGACTCTGTACATAACCAACAATTCGGCACAAGAATCGTGTAGTCGTGTGTATCGATGCGCGCGCATGTCCTTTTATATATATATATATGTATATTCAGCTCGGCGGGAAGATTCAAACAGCAGACAACTAATTTGATACTTCTCCGATTGTTATCTACAGAAATCGTCGCTGGAGCAACAGCGCAAGAAAGAAGTGTGAAAAATTCGTTAAGTTGTGTCGCACGTGTACGAAACCGAGTGGTGTGGAACGCATGAAAGTGTGCGTAAGCTAGCAGGAAGAGGAAGAGAGGGAAACCAAAAAAGAAAGAAGAAAAAGAAAGAAGAAAGGAAAGAAGAGAGAAGAAAAGAAACAAGCAACAAAATTGAAGAGGAAATAACAACGAAGAGATGAAGAGAAGACAGTGTGAGTAACAGTGGAAACGGGAGGGCAATGATAAAGAAAAAGAAAGGAAGGAAGGAAATAGCTTAGTGAGAGAAGAGAAAACAAAAAGTTTCGCGCAACGTACAGTATAATGTGGAGTAGCGTGTTTCGCAAAAGTTTTTAAAAAAAAGTCGATATAGAATTTATAAATAGATCGGTTGGTATACTCACATATGTGCACGCGTACGCATGTGTGCGTGATTACGCGCGCACATGTACGTGATTTTCACTCGAGACTGAAGCGGTGAATTATTCTCGCACGGATCGACTACTCGTGGGGGAAATTCGAGATCCGGCTTACCTTCCATAGCTGACGTCATTACCGGTAAGTTGTTTTTCCGTTACCAGTAGTCTCCTACCTTTTCGACGCGTTAAAAAAATCCTTTTCCTCTGTGCGTTTGTTACGTTTTTGAAGGGCGAATACGTTCGAGCTTTTCGTAACGTATTTGCTTCCCATTGAGAATTGAAGCTTTTAATAAGATTGTTAACTGGTTAGTTGTATTTGTATAAACGATTTACACAAAAAAAAAGAAAGTCGCCATGTTTAAATTTCGTTGAATATTCTCAATAACATTATTTTTACTTCTCAACAGAATAAAACTCTTCATAATCACTATTTTGATAATCACATTATACTTTTTTTTTTTTACATGATATTACGAAAGTTACTTTCAATTAGTTGTCAATGAGTTGACGAAGGTTAAAAGCCGAAAATACTCAGAAGGAAGCGAAAGGAATTTGAATATTTTCTAAATTTGAGCATTTGAACGCGTTCATACATCGTGTTGATTTTATGTCTTCTCGTTAATGCTGCGTAGATTACTGATGACCCACGTTGATGATCTTATTATGCAGCATGTATTCTATGCTAGAAGCACGTACTTCATAATGCTCATGAAATTATGAATACAGTTATTATTGCGAAGGAGCAATAGGAATGATGTGCAATATGTAATTCCCTTAATTTTGGCTTTGCAAAATTGTATTATAATGAATTCACTTTGCACTTTGATATTTAAACAAAATATGTTGATCATATCAGTTTTGAAAATTGTGCATAACATGACAATCCATTTTTTTCGACTAACGACTATTCATAATGATTATTCATTTTGTACACTTGCACGGTATACTTGACACTTAATAAATAATAGTTAATTGGTTCTGAAACTGATGAAAAAAAAAAAAATTACTGAACATGATACTCGGATAATCTAATATCTTGAAAAGATTATTAACTTGAAAGAAAGTTTTTATTCTAAATTATATAATTTAAATTTATTATATAAATTTATTTTTACATTTTATTACAAAATTCATTATGTATGTTATAACAGTTTCCTACATAAGGAAATTCCTACATAAGGCATTGTATATGCCACACTTATTAATAAATCACATCTAAATAAAGTAGGCTAAATAAGGGTGTTATAAATTCAAAGAACTGGAAAGAAACTATAGTTACTTTGACAAGTGTTTAGATTTGTTAACAAATGTAACCAAATTGAATTTATATCCGAACATCGAACAGTGACTTAAAAATTAAGAAATTAAGAAATTGAACATAAAAAAAAATATATCTCGTGAAGTATATTTATCTTCATTGTTTCTTTGACATAAAAATTGACGACTTTTCCAAACTTATGTTCTTATCAATTTTTTTTTTTTTTTTGTTCTTTTTGTTTAACTGTGCAAGAAAAAATTTCTTTGTCAATTTTCAATATTGACGGAGATACTAAACTTTGAAAATTCTTATACATTCAACATTTTCAGATATTGAGTAGCAGTATGTCTCTATAGTGAAATGATAATTTCTATGATTTTCGTTAGTAATCTTTTTTAATAAAGAAAACTAATGAAAATGATAATGGATTTTAATATTTTTCCAATTACTAGCCGACGACTTTTTCAAGCTGTTTCTATGTACAGCTTTGAGAATCATTACAGTACCGTTACTTTGATGATGCCAGTCACTGACGTCCTTGCGAACTTTTTCCTTCTTTTTAAGAATGTGCGCCGTTATCGATTTTCGTTTATTTCACATACGAATTGTACGAATTACTAACTAATATCCCTGTTGATATCAATCTATCAAATATTTATAGAACTTCATTACAATTATTTTTAACACGATTTGAGCTTAGTATATTTTACACACATACACTTTAGAATTAAATTTTGCAAAATTTTCGTTGTGTTGAAGATTTCTTTTTCTGTATGAATATTTTTGGTCGAATGATTTTCATAGAACATATTTAAAGTAAGGAAAAGACAGTGAAGAAGGAAAAAGGTAAAATAAATAAGGAAAATACGGAAAACATTTCAGAGTATTTTGCAGTGATTCTCAAAACGGAATAATTTACGTCTGAACGGAAATGTCATTAATTAAAAGTATATTTTAATATAATGAAGAAACATAATATTAATTATGAATAAAAATAAATGAACGAAATCATTATTACTTCATAATAAATATGATTAATTATCTATGGAAGTAATCGTAATTAATTATTCTAATTATTTCGTTTTACATATAATTCAGCCTTAACAAAATCAATTAAGTGCTGTTTTCATTTTTATGAAATGAAAGCCTTTATGAAGTCGATGTAATAATGAATTATTTTTAAAATTTCTTAGAAAAACATGGAAAGAAGAAATTGCGAAAAAATCTTACTGAATTACATTAAAGTCACATTAAAAATTAATCTGAGAACAAAATTAGATAGTTATTTATTGCAGGATGCAGAAATTTTTCATTTGTTGATCTTCTTAAACACAATATTTTAATATTATCTTGAGGATGCAGGATAAATATGATAAAAATTAAAAAATTTGCAGTGAAAATCCGTTGTAAATGTAAATGAAAATTAATTTAATTTTGAATGCCTCGAATAGAGATTAGTCATATGAATGCATTTGTTGTTTATGTAAATAATAATAATGTGTGTAATTGATCAGTATAAATATTTGAATAAAATTGGTGATCTGACTCTTCTACGCTGCTATCTAAATAAATTTTTTATCTATTCTCGATATATCTTATCAGTGACACATCACGAATTAAAGAACAAGGAAAATATATTATGAGAAATATCCTCTGAATTTAATCTTTGACGAACTTTGAAAATATTACTCACTCAGTATGATATTGAATTGAATCTCTTAGATTTAAGTGTAAGCTTTTATTGCTTTGATTTAACAAGTTAAATTCGATAATAAATATCTTGGATATATATATATATATATATAT